GTCCTTCCCACGATATGCTTAGTGCGTCCGTTGCCCATGCTAGTGGGTCTGGGACTGGTGATACGAATGTTGTCAGCTGATTGTTGAAGCGAGTGGCAAATAGGTCTATTAGTGGAGCTCCTATTTTCTTGATAATTTGCGCGAATATCTCTGTATGGAGCATCCATTCTGTTGGCGATGGTAGGTGTGGCCAAGAGAGAGCGTCTGCTATTACATTCTTTGCTCCTGGAATGTGACATGCTCTGACATGTATGTTGAGATTGTCGATTAGATCGAACAATTGAAAACATAGAGTCAATAGGTTCGGGGACCTGGTTGAGCCTTGTTTGTTAACATAAAACGCCACTGTTGAATTGTCTGTGTGAATCATCAATTTGGCATTCTTTAGTAAGTTGCTCCAATGATGTTTGGCGTTTACTACTGCTTGCATTTCTAGCAAGTTTATGTCAAGTTTGCTCTCTTGTTGGCTCCATAACCCTGATGCCGTCCTGTTGGCGAGGTGTGGTCCCCAACCTTGGAGCGATGCGTCTACATAGAGATGAGTTTTCAATTCCGGCTCTATTAAACAGATTCCATCGCAAACATTCGATCTCTTGGTCCACCATAGTAGGTGAGGTTTGACGTGATTCGGTAGACTGAATGGTTGAGGGTCGTCGAGATGAGCGTTGATGAGGACCTTTAACGGACGTAACTGTAGTCTGCCTCTGACTGTTATGTCTTGAACTGACGTGAGTAGACCCAACAGGCTCTGCCATTGTCGTAGTGGTAGCGGAGAGAGTAAGGCTTGAGGGATTAACTGTTGGATCTTGATCCATCGGTCCTCCGGTACGACGTTACGATTTTGCGCCGTGAGAAATCGAATGCCTAGAAATTGCAGATCTTGCGTAGGTTCTAGGTCCGACTTGAGTAGATTTACTAACCATCCTAGCTGTGTTAGTAGCTTGATGATGAAGTTTAACTGTAGTCTGAGACGCTGTGGATCTGGATCCACTTGTATCCCGTCGTCGAGGTAGAATGCACTGCGTAGTCCTTGACGATGTAGGTAAGAGACGATAGGTTTCGTCACTCTTGTGAATAACCAGGGGGCCGATGAGATTCCGAAAGGTAGTACTTTCCATTGGCAATGCAGCCCGTCTAGTGTAAACCGAAGGTATTTCCTGGAGTCGGGATGTATTGGGATGTGTAGATATGCGTCTTGCAGATCTATGCTGGCCATGTAGTCTCTGGGACGAATTAAGTGCGTAGTTGTGGTAAGTGTATCATGCGCGAAATGCTGGCGGTTTGCGTAGATAGTCTCTGTTGAACGTGCTCATATTGTGGATGAGACGAAACTTTCTTTGGAATTCTTCTTGGGCACTAGGATAACTGGGGAGTAGAAGCCTGTTTCGATGTTTACTTGGTCCAGTACTTCTATGGCCTGCTTGGTTAGGAGCGTTGATACCGCTTCTCTTAACTTTGGTAGTTGTAGAGCCTGGAAGTCGAACCTCGGAGGGATGACTGTCAGCCGAGGTGTGGCCTGTAGTTGTATGCGATATCCGTGCTGTAGGATGTTGGAGACATATGGATCCTCTAGGAATCCCCAGTTTTCCCAGTGCAGTTGAAGGCGTCCACCCACTTGTGATGGTTGTACTGGAACGGCTGGGGGTGGAAGACTCCAGTCGTTCTGAACCTGTCCTTCATCGTTTATAATTGCGGGAGCCTCTGGATGATCTGCCTCTTCCCGATGCTCCTCTGTAATTGCCGTATGGGCGGCGAAAAGACTTTTTCGCTCCTCTTACACTAGCCATCCTCCTGTCCCGAGCTCTTTGTAGACCGGAGAACTTCGATTTGCCTGAGTACCTCTGCGAAGTTTGTCTGATGACGATTGCTAGCGTATCCATAGACTTTATCATGAGTAGCACTCTTGAGTCTTTAGAGACTTCTTTAGAGACTTTGTCTATGTTACCATCGAAGATGGATGGTGGAGGCCACGGGGCTGTGTAGAGTGGTGCGGTGAAGCGATCACCCCAATTACAGGTGGCGAGGAGACCTTGACGACAAGCCATAGTAGTAGCTGCGGAAAGTGCTGTTAAGTGATCCGTAAGGAACTGCTGGTCTTTCTTCTGCATGAGGAGGGCCGAGTAAATCATTCTATCATCCTCAGATGTAGAGTCTCTGAACTTCGTGAGGAGAGTTTCGTTGACTGTTCTTGATCTGTTCAGACCAAAAAACATCCTCCTTGATATGGTTTCCATCTAGGGATATGGGCTAGCTTGCGGTCATCTATTCTGTAAGTCTTGGACTTGGCATCGCTGATCATCTTATAGTTATCATCGATATCTTGTGCCTTGTAAAAGGAGTCCATGTTGTGACATGCAAACTTGTTAGCGTTGAAATGCGGCACATGAGGTGTCTGTTATTTCGTGGCTTTACTAAAGGCTGTATGCAAATTAGCTGGCACCGCTGCTATCGCGTCAATCGGGGGTAAGGTGATTGTGTCAGCATCATCTTCCTTCATAAGATATGTGTGGGCTGAGTTCTCGTTCTTAGACGGGGAGGAAAGCTCCAGACTATTCACCATCCAATATCTTATTTCTGCGTCGGAAAATACGATACCATCTTCATCTTCAGACATCGGGTCACAGATAATGTGTTGATGCTCCTCCGACAGTGACTGAGGTGGAGTCCTTGATGATCTGTACGTGGATCGACAAGGTGATCGATGAGGCGATCGATAAGGAGATCGGCGAGTGGAATGATGTGGTGAACGGACTGACGAGTGGCGTCTATAAGGTGACCTTCGCGGAGACTTCCTTGGCGAACGCTGGTAGCTTCGCGAAGCTCTCGGTGACTCTCTTAATGATCTTCTAGATGAGGATGACTTGGAGCCACTTAACCTTCGTGAAGGTTGAGAGTCTGAGTAGGAATCATGGGATGAGAGGATCTTGCTTCGCGAACGTCCTCTTTCATCAAGGTCGGACGTAGGGGATACAGACATCATCCGTGAAGCCTTCCGTGACTGCTTAGGAGCGGGGTCCTTCGTGTAGGCGGGCTGGGTCGCCCTTTGTGGAGGCTTAGAGACGGGCTTGGTTGCCCTTCGTGGAGGCGCGTTAGCAGGCTGGGTCGCCCAATGCGGAGACGTGCAAACGGGCTGGGTCGCCCTACATGGAGGTATGGGGGTGGGCTGGGTCGCCCGTGGCTCTAAAAGCCTCCGAAGACCGTAGTGATCTTCTATCATTTTCATGATGTGGTTCATCAGGTCGTCTGGGACGGTCTGCGCTGAAGTAGTTGCTGCCTTCTCAACGATGGTAGCGACGGGACCCTCAGGACGATTCTCTGACATCAGTGTAGGTGCCTCAACCTGCGTGTTAATCTGCGCTGATGTTATAGTTGCCGACACTGGCCACTTCTTCCGCCGTACATCTGGAATGATGATCGGATCTTCATCATCAAACAGGCCCAACCCTGCAAAACGGGAACAATCTCGGCTGAGAAAGTACTGCTGGACTTCGATGATTTCCCCTTCGACGTGGATGTAGCCCTGGGGGTGCGGAGTCTGCGTTGTGACGACGTGGTCTTTGGCTGCGACAACCGGATGTCCGGGGATGCAGGTCTCTTCTTGGAGGTAGCGGACTGTGTCCCACGCCTCTCCTCCGAGGGTAACTCTAGCAGAACACCAGACGGGAGGGGTCGTCCGACAACAGTTAACAGGGTAAGGGCTCTGGTGTATTAGCCATGGCTAAAATCCGTTTACGTGACCTATCTGCTGCGCGTCTCAAGACGCAGAATAAATATTTATCAAAGGCAGAATTGGATAAATTAATACAATAATTGCAACGTGAACCAGTAGAACATGGCGTAGTACAACTAGGGCATATTAAATGCGGGTCAGCAGCAGAAAAACGTAATTTACAATTAGTGCAGATTTTCATCAACGCAATCTATCTGAACAAACACGGAGTCCGTGAATAAAACAGTAGAAACACGAATAAATATCAATGCATTATGTTGAAGGATACAAGCTACACCTCTATAGAAGTCTATGAGAGGTAAATAACTAAGAATAAACAAAGGATATAATGTGTAGGGAGACACAGGCGCTCTCACTGCTCACTTGACAAAGAAGGAGAGAGTGAGGCATGTGGCGGGAAGTGGCACCCTCGTTCCCCCGCAAAGGAGTGGGATGGAGATAACTCTTGGTGAGTACTAATTAGTGATTTTACATTGAAGGGAGCTTCAATTGGGAGAAACAAGTGTTCCACTGTGTTCCCAAGAAGAAGAAGACAAGCAAAAGAGCATGAGTCAGGATAAGGAAAAAATTGGGCTTCCCTTCTGGTTTTGACATCTGCACGGATGTCGTCATTGTTGCTGTCAGCAAAACCTTCTAGCTGTTACACATCACCGCGGTAATTGTTAAAGTAAGATGTGTGTGGTACAAACATAACATACTTATAAACCACATATACTTTCAAGAGTCTATACACATGGAAAAATGTATCGCATTAGCCCATATTTCCCAAAGTAGCCGCGAAACTTACTCTCATCTCTAATTAACTTACTATCTTACTATCAGGATTAATTGACATTGAAGGAATAGTTTAATGGGGAATCTGAACGGAAAAAGAACGAAAAACTATTTATAGAAGCAAACATTACACAAACTGACTCATCTTGTAGTGCTATGGTCGTAAGGCGTCAACAATCATTGTCAAGATTTTGTAGATAGAGGTTACTTTCCCCTCCCTCCGTGTAGTCGTTGGCTGAGTGAATGAGTGAGTGAGTGTGTAAGTGTGTGGGTGAGTGAGTTGGTGAGGCTGCCAACAATCAGAATGTCACGGCTTGCCAGTTCAAGAATGATCAGAGTGAGGCACGGCATTTTAACCATTTTGGTGAAACTGACCGGCACGTACCTGGTTTTGACCTACCAAGATCGTGGGTATCAAACCGACGTATCCTGCCCCGCTAATGGGAACATCCCAATGTACTAATGTAGTTTAGAGAGGAAGATGGGTTTACCGTACCGTCAATAACCACTCGACATAAAGCAAGGGTGTTGACTTCTGTCTGTGACAATGGTAGTATGACTGACACTGTCTGCCCCTGGACTGGCTGGTCACAGTGAATGGTGAGAGGCGACTTGGGAGCAGTCACAGATGATACGTTCTTGCACTGACGTCCATTTACAGACACGTCAAAGTTTCGGAGACTCGAGGCATGGTCTGAAATCAAAGATTCGATCCAGGTTTGGTAAATTTTAACATGTTCACCTTTGTCTGTAAATCATCAAATCTAACACTTGAAACAATTAACGGGGGCCTGCCCTAACCAGCCCCTACAAGGACATCATGAAACATGTAACGGGGACCTGTTCTAACCAGCCCCTACAAGGACATCATGGAACATGTAACGGGGACCTGTTCTAACTAGCCCCTACTAGGACATCATGGAACATGTAACGGGGACCTGTTCTAACCAGCGCCTACAAGGACATCATGGAACATGTAACGGGGACCTGTTCTAACCAGCCCCTACAAGGACATCTTGAAACATGTATCGGGGACCTGTTCTAACAAGCCCCTACTAGGACATCATGGAACATGTATCGGGGACCTGTTCTTATCAGCCCCTACTAGGACATCATGCAACACGTAACGGTGACCTGTTCTAACTAGCCCCTACTAGGACGTCATGGAACATGTAACGGTGACCTGTTCTAACTAGCCCCTACAAAGACATCATGGAACATGTAACGGTGACCTGTTTTTATCAGCCCCTACAAGGACATCATGCAACACGTAACGGTGACCTGTTCTAACTAGCCCCTACTAGGACATCATGGAACATGTAACGGGGACCTGTTCTAACAAGCCCCTACTAGGACATCATGGAACATGTAACGGGGACCTGTTCTAACTAGCCCCTACTAGGACATCATTGAACATGTAACGGTGACCTGTTCTAACAAGCCCCTACTAGGACATCATGGAACATGTAACGGTGACCTGTTCTAACTAGCCCCTACAAGGACATCATAGAACATGTAACGGGGACCTGTTCTAACCAGCCCCTACAAGGACATCAGGAAACATGTAACGGGGACCTGTTCTAACTAGCCCCTACTAGGACATCATGGAACATGTAACGGGGACCTGTTCTAACTAGCCCCTACTAGGACATCATGGAAGATGTAACGGGGACCTGTTCTAACAAGCCCCTACTAGGACATCATGGAACATGTATCGGGGACCTGTTCTTATCAGCCCCTACTAGGACATCATACAACACGTAACGGTGACCTGTTCTAACTAGCCCCTACTAGGACATCATGGAACATGTAACGGTGACCTGTTCTAACTAGCCCCTACAAAGACATCATGGAACATGTAACGGTGACCTGTTTTTATCAGCCCCTACAAGGACATCATGCAACACGTAACGGTGACCTGTTCTAACTAGCCCCTACTAGGACATCATGGAACATGTAACGGGGACCTGTTCTAACAAGCCCCTACTAGGACATCATGGAACATGTAACGGTGACCTGTTCTAACAAGCCCCTACTAGGACATCATGCAACACGTAACGGGGATCTTTTCTAACCAGCCTCAATAAGGATATCTTGAAGCATGTTTCAGGGACCTGTTCTAACCAGTCCCTACACGGACAAGAGGTTCTATATACTGCCTCGCTTTGTCTTGTAAATTACTCACTGTTCTATACACTGCCCTGTTAGTAAGGCAGAACTACCTGGGATTGTTCTATACACTGCCCTATTAGTCTGGCCGAACTTTCTTGGATTGTTTCATACACTGCCGGGTTCACCAATGCTCACCTGTGTTGTGGGTAATGGTCAGCTTGCTGATGGTGAAGGTCCTGTTGAGTATCAGTGTCCACACTGCACTTGTTCCAGACGAGTCCGAGATGTCCGTGCACTTGCTGCTGGAGTCACTTCCGGATACCGGAATTCCAGAGTCTGATCCCCTCGGCTGTCTCTGCGTGGACAGCAGCGCTCCTTCAGCAGCATTGACTGAAAATATAGGATGATGAAACCTGTAGAGAGCTGAAACATGTAGAGAACTGAAACATGTAGAGAACTGAAACATGTGTCTTATCTTATGCTGGCCCCTCCCTTTGTGTTCTCTGTCGGTCAGTCTATGAGCTGTTATACATTGATTGCCTTGCTGTATTGTACTGTTATTGTCGGGTGGCCTGGTCGCTGAAACTAGTGATGCATAGTGACTCAAAACATCATCAGTTAACATCGCCACCGCTCCACATCAGCGGAGTTTTCACATGCAACATATGTTATATGGAAGACAGTTTCTCAGTATAGTACAGATGTTAGTACTTTGGGGGTTGGTCTCATTCAGGATTCGAACCCACAGTCAGGTGGCGCAGTGGATTAGATCGTTGACTTTGTGAGTTGCTGATTAGGTACCTCACTCGTATGTAGACGACTGCTAATCACCTGACCTATACGTCAATAGACAGAAGAACGTTTACAGCTATATAGGATTCGTGCTCGATTTCTTAGAGGTCAGTTTCGATTCTTCTGGATCAGGGTTGGTGGAACCTGTCCCATAGTCTGCTCATCATAGACTGGGACACATTGAACCTGTCCCATAGTCTGCTCATCATAGACTGAGACACATTGAACCTGTCCCATAGTCTGCTAATCATAGACTGGGACACATTGAACATATGTAGCAACAGATGCTGACTCCTGCAAGTTTCCAGCCTGTCGATAGCAAGACGTTCAGACGCTCTGGGTACCGCTGCTTGTTCATGCACAAACAATGAAGAAAATCAAGTCAAACCATAAGTGCATTAGACATAGAATCAATGACATTGACAGAATAAAACCGTTCAGCCGACCTTCCTCGAAAGTACCCAGACCAGGAATGACATCATGCAGGATTGCGTGGCCTGCTACACGCTGCACGTGTGTACTAACCGAAGTCTTTGTGTAGAACATGTTAGTCGTCAACACTTATTTTTTGTGATATTTGATCCATTTCTTCTTTGTCTCATCTTCTGGGAGGAGTATATCTCCTGACTATAATGCTGAGTTCGCTGGGGCGATGAGGTAGCCTAGAGGTTAAAGCGTTCGCTCGTCACGCTGAAGGCCCGGGTTCGATTCCCATATGGGGACAATGTGTGAAGCCCATTTCTGCTGTCACCCGCCATGATATTGCTCTAATATTGCTAAAAGCGGCGTAAAACCATACTCACTCACTCACTCACTCATTGAGTTCGCTCGGTGAGTATTACCGCTAGGACTCACTATCGGCAAATGATAGTTGATGTGAACAACAGCCTGTCCTTGTTCACGTTTACCTCAGGTGATTGGTCTTCTGTTTAACAACTGTCTCTGGTGACGTATTTAGTTAGTTCTAGTTTATGTTAATCTCAGGTGACAGGTCTGGTTCTGTTTAACACCTGTCTCTGGTGACGTATAAAGTTAGTTGTAGTTCACGTTTATCTCAGCTGATTGGTCTGGTTCTGTTTAACAACTGTAGTAGTATATACAATTGGGGTTTTGGACCAGTTCCAACAAAAGCCTCTGCAAAGCCTTATTTCACAGATAAGGCTTTAGTCGGACCCTTAGCTCTTGCTACCATTACCCCTACTATAAAAAAGTTTGGGACGATAGCGGGATACGAACGCACCTCCTAGCCGCACCGGGGGCATGGCTGGAGTGTGTTGGTATCCTGGGATTGCACCATCCAATACTGGGCTGCGTCTAACGTGCCGCTATGCCGTGTTGACTGGAGGTAACACTGTGCCGTACGGTACGATCAATAATTCCGCTCTTACAAACCCCCTACCTAGCCCATCCCTCAAGTAGTACAAGTTAGGCTCGTCTGCTTTCATGTCCACTTTATCTATGTTGTAAGTTTTGACTGACCATATAGGATCGGTGGCTCGCTTACGGCTATCACCCTCGTGTTCCCCAGGCTGGTATAGATACCTAACTAGGGCCCTATCTGGTATCTGTTTCTCTTTTCTACGCAATGGAGCAGCCGACTCTGCAACTATTGATTTTAGTTTGATAGCGTCTGCCGGTTTCTTATCAGTGAGCCGGGTGACTTCATGGTTGATTGCCGACACCACCTTGGGTAACCTCACGACCCATTCAGTCGATTGTTTTCCCGGGGTTGCCATCTCCCTAGCATACTGATGTCCGAATAAGCGCTCAGCCAAAGTCCTATTAAATCTCTCAACTATGGCTTGGCTGCGATGGGCTCCGGCCGTGCCACGCCTGACCTTTGTATCATGTTTGGCTAGCAGTTGTGACACGGCGCCCATGAACTCCGGCCCGGGGTCAACTTGCAGCTCTGTTGGCCATGTCAGCGGACTGCGTTTGTATATGCGCTCGAATCCTCTGGCTACCTGGGCAGAATCTTTCGTGGTCAAGGGCTCGGCTTCCTTGTAGCGACTGGCTACGTCCACTACGGTTAAGGCATACTGGTACCTCTTGTCGTGGGGTAGGAACAGTAGGTCTGCCTGGTGAACGCTATTAGGTATGTTAATACCGAACCTCCTTCTAGGCACGTAGCGTGGTGCCGGTAAACAGATCTGCCACAGGGCTTGTTTTTCAAGCCACGCTTTGGCTTCCTCCGGGGGTACTCGCAGCGCCATTTTAGCCAGCTTATCTACAGCGCTAGCTCCTTTCCAGTACCCACGTGGGCTATAGTAAATAGCCTCAAACTTTCTCTGGTTCCGTGACATGTCGCCTACGTACACCTATGTTCTTGGTTCAATTTTCTCATGCACGTACGCGTACGTGTTTATCCCATCAATAGCTATCCAACGTTTAGTGTCCATCGGCGACAGGGACGTCTTGTTTATAGTAAGTCCGTATATCTTATGCCCATCACTTCTAAGTGTGTTCATTTTATGCCTAAAGGTACGGGTCTTGAACAGGGCTTCCTTGAATCTGGCGTGTTTGATGTGTTGTTTAACCACGTACTTCTTAACACCCTTAGCCTTCCGGATCTCACCATTGTCGGCCTTCAGTATGGAATACATCTTAGGCCTCAAACCTATGTACTCGGCTATGGGCGTGCCGGCACACTCGTCCTTCATCTTACCCAGGACCTTTTTATTTACCGTACTGTGTATGGCATGGGCCTTGGGGTAGTCGCTGGTGTCATACAAATCGAGGTGTTTTTTCATGTCCTCGTACACGTCCTCGGTTCGAATCTCCATCAGCAGGGAATCCATGTCAGTGTACAGCACTTCACACCTGTCGTTGTACTGTTTCTTAAGCTCGTAGTAAAAGTCGTACATCAGGTGTTTGGATAAATCGAGGATGCTCATCCCCACGTAAACAGGCCGGTTGAATTTTATGTGGCTTTTCTTCATGTGTAGGGCAACTAGGTCATCGGTGAATATCTTGCTACGGTTGAATGCCGGACTGGCTATCAGTCTCCTGAGCTTGTCTTCCTCATTCGACCGAACCAGCTTCATGGTCACGCGTTTCCTAAGGTTCTCCATAGTCTTACCAAACACCGAGTTGTTCATGAGCTTGTAGAGATTTTTCACAAAGTCACTGGTGGCAAGCTTTCGGAGGTCTGTGTTCATTCTGATGTAAGGCTCCATCCATGGGCTCTGGTTGAACACGAGCACCCTGTGTATTTTGGTCAGCCTCATACCCAACGATATGTACAGCTGTAGGTTGCGATAGTGAACGATGTACTTGGTCTTATTCATTAAGTTAGGCACAAGTTTTTCAACGTCTGCCACCCGCCCACCTAACAAGTTATGTTGGTACTCAGACATCCAGTCTGGGTTAATCCTCATACGTTCGGGGGCTAGGGGGTAGCTGTTGTGTGATGTGTGTAATGCCTTGGGGTATTCCAAGTCAACCTCATGGATATAACCTTTGTTCGAATCTGGTGTGATGCTCATAACATCGAAATCGGACGATACCCATTCGAATCCCCCTGTGGGTAGATACTGGCTCATAGCCCAGCCGTACAGGTTGTTGGCGTCGAGGTAGAGAATGTGATTGGTTGGCTTGCTAGGGTCGTAGCCCTTCACGCATTATTGATTATTTGCTTTTCGCAGTATCGTTTGGTTGCCATGGAGATCCCACCTCGCATGCCTTTCTCAATGAATAGGTGCATGTCATAATCTGTAAGCAATTCCAACTTAACTCCGGTCTTTTTAAGCAAGGCATCCCACGACAGACCTGGGCTGGTGTAATACCATGCGGGGTCGAGTTTATACTGTTTGAAACATGTCCGCCTAAACGTCTCAAACACGTCGGCTAACAACAGTACATCTGTCCTCAAGTACAGGTCGTGATAGTCACCCAGGGTTTTACAACCCAGTTTATCCCATACATTAATAGCGTGCGAGTAATCGTCTTGGGATATTTCCGAGTCTGTCAGATTGCTGTAAAATTCTCTGATGGGGGGTAGTCTGGTCTCGGCGAACTTGGGCCAACTATCCATGTACTCATAGGGGTACACACCCTTCCTCATAAGCAGGGGTCTAGTCTCGGCGTCTGTGTATCGATCGGTAATAGGGAAGGTATCATTGGCCTTGACCAGACTGTCTAGTGAAGACAATAGAAATTGTACTGAATCTATAAACCTAAGACCGTTTAAGCTGAAGGAGATGTATCTCTCCATGTTGTTGGGGATGCACGTTATATTACCATCGATTTTCGCAATGGCCAGCATGATTAAGTGAGAGTCAAACCCTCTCAAGTTGTGAAAGACAACGGGAATGTTTATTGTCTTAGGGTTGATTCTAAGCTTGAGGTTACACGCGCTGTGAGCGGCGCCTCTATACTTACCGGTTACGTGGCAGTGATCTCTCACGGAATCCCCATTCAGTGGTGAGTCACACACGTGGCAGTTAGTGCTACAGGCGTGAGCTAGCCTGTCGGCTTGGGTCATACGCATGGGAGCGACCCTATACAGTGCATTCCTAATAATTTTTTCTTCCTCCTGCAAACACTTAAGAAACCTTTCTTTTCTCTGTGTACCGATTGGTCATACAACAGCCTGCTAA